AAAAGGTAATTGCAATTTCTAATCTCAGAGTTCAGATTATTTTTTTCTTGCAGTTGCAAATTCATATCTCACAATTCTGTCTTTTTTTTCCTCAGAATTGCAAGTTTATAGTTGTTCACAATTGTTTGTTATAAAACTCACAATTGTGAGTTTACGTCGTGCAATTCTTACTTTTTTTCTCAGAATTCTAAGTTTACATCTCGCAATTAATAACTTGCTATTTGCGAGATGTAAACTTGGAATTCTGAGGAAAAAATCTAAAGTGAGTTCATAACTTGCATTTGCGAGTTTATATCTCGCAATTAATAATTCAGAATTGAAAGTAATAAATCGGCAATTCTGAGAAAAAAGTCAAAATTGTAAATTATAACTTACAATTGTAGACTTACATCTAGCAATTAATAACTTGCAATTATATGTAAACTCGCAACTATGAGAAAAAAGTCAGAATCACAAATTTATAACACATTTATTCTGACATTTTTCCTCCAAATTCTGAGTTTACGTCTCACAATTAATATCTCGCAGTTGCAAGATATAAACTCACAATTCGAAGAAAAAAGTCAAATTGTGAGTATAACTCACAAGTGTGACTTTTTTCTTTAAATTCTAAGTTTTCATCCTGCAACAATAACTTTTAAGGTATAAATTCTAAAATAATTTGAATTATGAGATATAAACTTACAGTTCTGAGAAAAATAAGAAGAATTGTTGGATAAAAAGTCGCAATGACCTTTTTTATATTTTTATTCTCTGGCAGAAATAAGCTTCCATAATTTGTTGACGTGGACTACAGTGGACAAACAGTGGCAGAGCTGACAATCTGACCATTAAACAGACTGTCCTCTCCAATGAAATCACACAAGAGTCTGGCCAATAAACTCTAATGGCTCTGTCGATCCAAATCTCCAGTTTGTAGCATGTTCTTGTGTACTGAGATTGATGCCTGGATCAGGCCACCAGAACGGGATATGTGTGTCTGTGTGGTAGACCCTCAGTGTGTGTCCATGAGCTGATTTTGTGAGGTCCAAGCTTATGGCACTCACTGGTTCCCATGTAGCATTTACACCAGTGTAATGAATCACTCAACAAATGTTGCTCTTGGACTAACTGGTTGGAAAGGACGTAACAGAGGAAGAATATAACAGCAGGGAGGGTTTACACTGCCACCAAAACACATTGCCTGAACTGTACTCTAAACTATGATTATTTACATTAATGGACCCTGCTGAAAAGACCAGTTTAAACCAGCATGGATTCTCATGCTTTTCCAGGTTGGTTTATGCTGGTTAGAGCTGGTTTGATGCTGGTCTGGTTGGTAAATACATGCATTTATTTGAAATTGTGAAATATTTAAAATAACTACTTTTTTTAAATAGACAATTTGAAAGATCAGTTTTCTGTTTTAATATATATTTTAAAATGCAGTTTATTGCAGCTAAAAATTTCAGTAGCCATTACTCCAATCTTCAGTGTTACATGATCCTTCAGAATTTTTCAGGATTGTTTGATAAATAGACATTTCAAAATAAAAGTGTTTATTTGAAATAGTAATCCTATGTAAAAATGTAAAAGTCTTTATTGTACATTTTTATCAATCTTACGGATCTCAAACTTCTGAACAGTAGTGTAATATATATGTATGTATATATATATATATATATATTTTGTATTAATATTAATAATATTTCTCACTAGGCTTTTCACTAAATGGACACAAGAAAATATGACATTTATTTACAAGAATTTTTATTTAATAATTTTTACATGCAGAAGTAACATGAGTAACAACAGAAGTAACTGTATTATAACAACAATATTTCTAATTCCATGCCTCATATCACTCTGTATTGCCTATCTTCTCATAACATCATTTAAACTTAAATCAATATTAAATTTCCAATAATGCATTTATGTATTCATTAATTTGTTAAATAGCTATGTAATAAGACTGATACCGTCAACCAACCACTTTGCATTATGGTATTAATCACCCTCTAAGGGTTTATTTTGCAAGAAAAAAAGACCAGCTTGTATTATCCCTTACCTATGTGTTGTAAATATGTTATAATGTATGTCCTCTAGCCATACAGAGGTATAACAAACAATGTCTAGATTTTTTCTCTAAAGATTGAAGAGTACTAGTATTTAATGGACAGAAATACCCAGAATATTTCCCTTAAGAGCATAAAAGCTGTTCTGTTGTAAAAACCTGATTTTGTATATAGTTTATAAGGGGATTAAAAGGCCACAGCATGCTCTGTGAAACCTTTCTGTCTGCTGTTATAAAGCAGAGCCTGTGGAGATGAATGAATGCTGTTCTCTGTTCACTCAGAGCCAGCGGCTGATAGCATCTCTCACTGCATGCTCTTTCACATTAAGAGAGAGTGAGAGCATGGCATGTGTGTAACGGTCTAATGCCAGACAAAGGAAACCCCATCACTCCTCTCGCCTATAGTCTCTCTCAAAGACATTTTCATGTACGAGTCTTTATGTTCACCTGCAAGGGATCCATAGATCTGTTTTGAGCTTTAGTGGCAGTGCTAATGCTAAAGCAGCTCTTTCCTTATTTTTCAAGCAACACACACATAAAAAGAAAGATGTATTGCTTAAATGGTGCTCTTTTATTGTCATAAGACTTCTTAGTTATGTTTAAGTGTCAACTTTCTCTCAGATGTCTCAGGACGTCGAATATATATATATATATATATATATTCGCATACACTAAAGCATAGAGCTGCTGTTCATGCACAGTAATCTGACTGTTGTCTACACAGTTTAGTCCTTGTGAAAATAAGTGCACTTAATTGTAATGAATTAAATATGCACTTGTAGTCTACTTAAAAGTATATTTAAAAGTATACTTTTAAGTATACTTTTAAATATACTTAAGTATATTTAAAAAAAATTTTTGCTGACATAACACTTCTAAATAAAATAATGCTTAAGTGTACTTAAAGAGAGTGCACTTTCTTGACTTGAAAGTTTTTAACTCACTTAAGCACACTTTTAAAAAGTGCACTTTGTAAAATATCAAATTAAGTTTAAGTTAATAAGTTTAACTTTATCATCGTTATAATTGTGTAATTACAAATATATTTAAATGTATGACTTAAGGGTTTTAATAGAAATTAAATGATAGCCTATGTAAATATGTACTAAAATCCTACTTCAGTGGATCAAAAAACACTATAATTTAGCTAATTGCATTACATAAATTTAAACGTGAATACATTTCCATTTAATTGCAATTAACATGCAGTTTACCTTTCAAAAATATTACATTTAGTTTGTACTTAAGTTTAGTCTTTTATTATTTTCACAATATGTACACTGTTAAAAAGTAGGCTAAAGTGTACTTCTTTTTATCAAGGTGGATATTAAAGAGATTTGTGACTGTGATATCTGTGATTTTTACTTCCATATGATGCAGGAAGCAGATACTGCAGAGAAACATGAGCAGCTACCCTGTGGAATGAGAGGGAACTGTGATTAAGTGGAGTCAACTGTATTAGGCAAAGTGCTCAACGCTTCGCTCATCATAATGTGAAGTGATGAACTTACTGCTCCGATGAGCTCAACTACACTGCTTCATTGCTAAAATCATGTGGAAGACTCGAGGAACTTAGCTCATTTAAATAAAGATTTAAATACAGAACCCTCTTCAGCCGTAATCTTGAGTTATGAATCGGATAGTGTGAACTGATTGATAAAAATAAACAAATTTATCTTGTTTAATTTTGTATGTCACCTGGAAAATAATAATTAAATCATAAATATTTAACTTAAAATACACCCAAACTTAATGTAGAGTAATTTCACTTGTATGCCATGACTACTTTTCAGCACCATAAGTTTCATTTACAGAGATTTGAGGGCAAATTTTTTTACCTCTAAAGAGCCACTTATTGAACTCAGAATTGAAACTCTGAGCATGGAAGGAAATAATTAACCATTTAAAGTCAACTTGAAATTAAAATAGACTATATTTACTATTTAATACACATGATCTTATTGTGCATGATTCCTCAGTGCAAATAATTACAGTTGTCTTCAATGAATCAAAATGCAATAACTTCCTCCGCCTCTAAAGCACATAGATCACACAAACTGAGAAATTAAATGTTTGTCAGGGTTGGGGATGAAGGGATGAGGCGAGGACTCAATAGTGCAGAGTAATGGGCTTTTAAAAAAAACTCACCTGCCTATAGCCTTAGTAATCCTGAAGACATTGATTAGCTTGTTCAGGTGTGTCTGATTAGGGTTGGAGCTGAACTCTGCAGGACTGCGGCTCTCTAGGACCGAACTTGCCTACCCCTGCACTAGACCGAAGTGACAGAACCCTGACAATGTTAGCCTACAGGCAAACAGCTTTAGGCATTATTATTGGTATTTCAACATTTAAAAAGCCTTGCCAATATAACAAAGTGAGTGCCATTTCATATACTCACTTTATCCGTTTGCACAATAAGTACTTAACACTTTCTGTTTATGGCATGCAGTTCTTAAAGGGGTCATATGATGCGATTTCAATTTTTCCTTTCTCTTTGGAGTGTTACAAGCTCTTGGTGCATAAAGAAGATCTGTAAAGTTGCAAAGACTAAAGTCTCAAATCCAAAGAGATATTTTTTATAAAAGTTAAGAGTCAGCCACACCTACCTAAAACGGCTCGTTCTAACACACCCCCACATACCTACGTCACGATCTCGGAAGATTTGCATAACGCCGCCCAAACGTTCACGCAAAGAAAGAAGGCGTAACTTACGCGTTTCAGAAAGGCGGGGCATAGAGGAGAGTACAGTATGTACAGTATGTGGAAAATAATGTGTTTTTTTAACCTTAAACTGCATAAACACATTTCATTACACCAAATACACCAAATAATATTCTTTTTAGCAGCATCATATGACCCCTTTAATAAGAAGATGAAACTTCATTGCAAACCAAAATGTATTGTAATTATTCAGATTCTGATTCTTCTGATTTCTCTCTGTTTTCAGGGATACCGCGGTACCTCAGTCAGCCGGAAGCCTCGTCGGTGCGGGTGGGTGACAGTCACATGCTGAACTGCGAGGTGAATCCAGACCTGGTGTCTTTCATCCGCTGGGAACAAAACAAAGAGCCGGTTGAGCTGGACCAGAGAGTCTTCACGCTGCCCAGTGGTGCTCTCGTCATCAGTAATGCCACAGAGGCAGACGCAGGCCTATACCGCTGCGTGATCGACAACGCTGGGCCCACCAAGACCAGTGAAGAAGCAGAAATACAGATACTGCCTGGTAAATAATCCATACTTCCATACATATTCCAATTCCATACTTAGAATTGTATCATCAGACCATAAAGTTGCAAATTAAATTATGTCCATGTCTTTTTTTGACATTTTTACCAGTGTAAAAAGCTTTATCTGCTATCTTAATATTTAGACTGATTTACTGACTGACCTTTAAACATCATTTTGATAACAGAATAATAGTAAATTCATCCAAATTATCCCAGCTAACAAAAATATGTTCTTATAATTTTTTGCAAAACATACATTTTCTTTTTAAATGGTTAAAAAAAAATTCTTGGTTACGCACATTAGAGAAGTCATTAGAGAAATGTTCCATTTTATCATTTTGCAAACATTATAGTAACGTTACTTTTAAATGTTGTTAAAAGTCAGGCAAGTTTGAATAAATGTTATATTAATGTTACAAGAAGACCATCTGTTCATAACTTTGGAAGAACCTTTAGAAGAAAAAATATAAAATTTTTTAGATATGTGTCTTATATAAATATAAATATGTCTTCAAAACTAATTTCAAGCATTTAACCATAACTCTTTTATATCAAAAGTAGTGCTGTCAAACGAATAATCGTGATTAATTGCATCCAAAATAAAAGTTTCTGGTTACATAATATATGTAGGTGTACTGTGTATTTTTATTGTGTATATATAAATACACACATACAGTATATATTTTGAAAATATTTACATGTATATACATGTATATATTTATATTCTTATATTATATATAAATATATTTAATATATAAACACATTTTTCTTTAATATATACATGCATATGTTTGTAATTATAATAAATATACACAGTACACACATATTATGTAAACAAAAACTTTTATTTTGGATGCAATTAATCGCGATTAATCATTTGACAGCACTAATCAAAAGTTTTTTTATTATTATTATTATTATTTCATGACAAACATAAATTCAGTCAGGTATGTCCAAAACAGCATTTACTGAAAAAAAAATATCTTTTTGAAAAGTTTAAAATGATTAACATAATCAGGACAGGAACAGACACTGACTGTGAATGCACTTCTCTATTTTGTGCAGAATCAGGGGAGGAAAGGACCCTGGAGTTTCTCCTGGAGCCCCAGCATGTGTCTAAAGTCGTTGGGGAGAGCGTGCTGCTCCCCTGTGTGGTGACGGGATATCCCACAGCCTACGTCACATGGATGCACAAAGACCAGCTCATTGAGTACAGGTAGGAAATGCATCATCAAGCAGCATTTCTGTCCTCATAGATCTCCAGGGTGGATAGATACTCTGCTATTACTGGATCCAGAGCTCTGCACCCTGAATCAGACAGTGATTTCCACTAACAGCTCATTGATTCCTCTGTGTTGCCAATGTGACGAACATGAGCTTAGAGTCCCGCTGTGGCAGCAGTGTCCACTTTTAGGGATCACTGTCTGTGTACGTCTGCTGTTCTGCTGGCATACAGCCCTGTCCCAGCTGCCCGAGTAAATAATTAGAGTGACAGCGCCTGCCTGAGAGGTGTAAATGCCAGTCAGGACTGCAAGTGTCTGCACCACACACACACAATCTCTCTCACACCTCTCTCATGAGAAACACTGCCAGGCTGTTCACAGATTAGACCTGGGAAGCCACTTTTTCATGCTTCATTCTTATTAGCTGCTGGGTGTCCAAAGGGCATGTGTGACCCAGAGATTGTGATCAGCCGATGTTCTCAACACTGCATGCTAAAAAAAAAAAAAGTGCTGACGGGGTTTCCACAGTCATAGCCACATGGAAATGTGGTTATTTTTATGGGCTTTTATGCCTTTTTATTGAGATACGACAGTAGAGAGACGACAGGAAAGCACTGGGAGGAGAGAGGGGAGCAGGATCTCGAAAGGACCTCGAGACGGGAATTGAACTCGGGTCACCGTGAGCGCAGATGCGCTATGTGTCGATGCACTAACTATTGGCGCCAACATGTAAGGAAATTTTAACGTTGTGATATTCAGGCCTGGAAAAGTCTGGAAAAATAATACAAAATAGGGATGCTCTTATAATAAATTACTTTCTTTTTTGTCTAAATAAAGCACTAAAAGCTAAAATCAATTGTGAAACTGAAAAATCAAAAGTGAATTTGGGCATTTTAAATAAATTTTTATGAGATTTTCTAAGAATACATTTAAATGTGGTATTAAAGGTTTAGTTGACCCAAAAATTAAAAATCTGTCATCATTTATTCATCCTCATGTCATTCCAAACCTATAATACTTTCTTTTATCTTCAGAGAAGATACATAAGACACTTTGAAACCTGAGACATTTTTATCCCTACACCAAATCTTTAACTTTTCAAAGTTCGAGTTCATAAAAACGTTGTAAACATAACATGATTCATGATTGCTTTATTTGAAAAACTGGTTTCATTTAGGGCAGGGGTGCCCAAACTCGGTCCTGGAGGGCCGATGTCCTGCAGAGTTTAGATCCAACCCCAATTAGACACACCTGAACCAGCTAATCAAGCTCTTACTAGGCATACTAGAAACTTCCAGGCAGGTGTGTTGAGGCAAGTTGGAGCTAAACTCTGCAGGACACCGGCCCTCCAGGACCGAGTTTGGGCACCCCTGATTTAGGGTTTTCTTCACATACAGTATAAACACTGATCAACGCACATACATAAAGCACATTAAATATTCTTGCTTGACAAGTGAGAACTGATGAACTGTTTTTGTTACATGGACTCTCAGTGGAGCAACAGAATCTCATGTTTCTCACGTAAATTATATTTATTTGTGTTTAAGATGAATGAAAGTCTTATGTATGGCGTTATTTTAATGACAAATGTCGAGAGCGCATTATTGTAGCGCGAAAGCACATTAATATAATGCGCGAACGCGAATCTCTCCGCTCGCGCGCGGATTTCCTTTGCTCTCGCACAAAACCGGACGCGCGCGCTCAGATACACGCTGCTCTCGCCCGGAGAGAGTGCGCACACTTAAAACGTGTCTCTCCTCTCACTCAAACTGTGTCCTGTGCACTCACAAATCTCTCTGTGCTCATGCACTATAGATATTAATTATTTTCACACCTGAATCTTAAATCTTACATCTTCTGATGTAAGACAGAACTATTTAGATATGGGTCAGATGCCGCACTCTCAAACTTAGATGACTGAAAAAGATGTTTTGTTCTTGACAATTAAAAAGTTCCTGTGAGGTTTCCAGAAGACAGGGTTTGGACTGTCAGTCAGTAATTGGGAATGTTAAATGAAAGAGCAATAGGGAATATTTGTAAGAATGTTTGTATTATCAGACAGCGATAGAACGAGGCATTCGAGCCCCTGCTTGACATATCCGAATTTATGAAAACATGCTTTGCGTGCCACAGCCTCACCGCGCTGTGGGGATTATCCACGGTAAACGGACGAGTCAGAGAGGCAGAACAAGGGAGAAAAGATAGATGAAAGGGTACAGTGAGAGTGACTGTTGATTGCCTCATATTGGGGTCTGTATGAAGTGTGAATTCAATCCCCCAAACCTTACGACTCAATTTAAATATGAACAAAGCGTGTTCACGGTTCCTTTGATCATACTGTGCAATACCTATCTCCAAATATTTCTATAGTACAGAAGCATTCGGTTCATTGTGTGTATGAATATTTTATGATGTAAAGTGTGTCCCTCTTTTCTGTTTACAAAAAATAAACTGAATGTAACACAAAAACCCCAAATACACTCTTAAAAATAAAGGTGCTTCAAAAGGTTCTTCAAGTGATGCCATAGAAGAACCATTTTTGGTTCCACAAAGAACCATCTCTTTCTTACCATTTTATAATCTGAAGAACCTTCTTTCGCCACAAAGAACCTTTTGTGAAACAGAAATGTTCTTCAGATGTTAAAGGTTCTTTATGGAACCATTTAGACAAAAAAGGTTCTTCAATGGCATCGTGAAGCAACTTTTTTTTTCTTCTTTTTTTAAGAGTGTAACAACCTTAATACTGGATGAGATTCTAGAAATTATTTAGGCTATTTTTACAGTTTACCTAAAATTAAAAATTAAAAAACAGGGTCATTACGGTGGTCAAGATGGATTTTGGAACAGTGTAGCTTGTCCAAGGTTTGTTATCCACACCAGCTCAGTAAGACTTAGTGAAATACTGATCAAGCGACTAGCCGTTCATCCTGCCCCCTGGATTCTCTGAAACCCCATTTAGAATCCAATTTGGGGTTGATCATTGTCTGCTGCTCTCCCGATCTATAAAGGTCGGGTGAAAATATTGCGGGTTGGCCATTGGCAGAGTTGCTTATCAATGTTAATGGCCTATAATTTCTGCAGCCTTTTGTTCAGGATATGTATTAGCAAGATTAAATGCTGTTTTCAGCTCACACTCTCCTGCTATTAAATTTATGCTGTTGGGAATAGAGTCTGGCCATGTAATGTTTGGATGAAGGGAGGGCGCTTTTTACACTTCTAGCAAAAAGTAATAAAATAGGAAATATGTGACCCTGGACCATAAAACCAGTCATAAGGGTCAATTTTTCGAAATTGAGATTTATACATCATCTGAAAGCTGAATAAATAAGCTTTCCATTGATGTATGGTAAATTTAGTTCTTAGCAATGCATATTACTAATCAAAAATTAAGTTTTAATATATTTACGGTAGGAAAATTACAAAATATCTTCATGGAACATGATCTTTACCTAATATCCTAATGATTTTTGGCTTAAAATAAAAATCAATTATTTTGACCTGCAATGTATTTTTGGCTATTGCTACAAATATCCCCGTGCAACTTATGACTGCTTTTGTGGCCCAGGGTCACATATATTTTTGGAAAAATACACCCAAATATATTTTAAAATGTATTTCACAGGGAAGAAAATAAATTTCCAATCTTACAGTAGCCTACATTTAGTCTAAATGTAAATGTAGATGGAATAACTTAGCAGAGATCAAAACTAGATTTATAATGATTCATTAAAATGTGAATCACTGGTAACACCAGTAACATTGACTTCCACAGTAAGACTAATTCAGTGCAATTAAGCACACTTGTTTTTCACAAGGGCAGGCTTTATTCACATCATCTGTGGCCTGGTGATTAGCACTACTGTTTATTCCCATACCCTGACCTTTTACTGTCTGGAGATGCAGGGTTTCTGCCCCTGCTGAATAGAAAAACAGTACAGTCCATCAGTCCACACAGAAGGAGCCTCTCTAACTCCCTTATGTGTGTATAGGGGGAAAAGTGTTTTTCTCGCGTCGAAATCCAAACAGTGCTCTATTAACCGTGGAGTCACACCAACCGCTCTCCGTCCCTGGCACTAGCTGCATGCCCATCTCTCAGGCTGGGATGCTCTTCAGATAGAGTCACTGGGCAGAGAGCTGAGAGAGATATATAATAGCAGGTTTGGAGACGCTCAGGATTCTTAGTGGGAGTTTAACAACAGGCTGGATTCACTGAAGGATAAACACTGAAGACTGGCACAAAGAGCTGGTGGGAGGGGGGAAGGGAAAGCCAGACAGTGTGTAAAAGAGACAATGAGAAAGAAAATAACATATTTCCGTTTGGATCACAAGCAATATAATTTATAGTCTTGTGTTGCCAGACCTTAAACCTTCAGCATACGATATCTGGTCCACATTGCAGCTGATTTTGGCCAAAGACTGAAAAAGGAAGTGGTCGTCTGATTGATATAAAATGACCAACCACTTTGCTGTTTACTTTTTTGTTGTATTGTAAACAAATCTCTTTATTTTCCTTATTTTAAGTATCTTTAAATGATTCAGTGCCACGAATCTTGCAAACATTTGCAAATTTGCCTAGTTCTTTGTAGCAGTCTGGAAACTTCTGAGCACGATTTTGTTTTTTTTGTGTACTGATAAAAAAACAGTGCACCCGGACACATGAAAATTGATTATTCATTTTTTAAAGAATACATTTAAAAATGCAATTGATATGCATACATTGATTTCTGAATTATAGTTCAGTTTTCTGAAGAACAAATACTAGTTCAAGTTTTTGAACACCCTTATTAAGTATTTGGTATTTTTATTTTATTTTATTTTATTTATATAGAAATCAAATAATAATAAAAATATATATTTATTATAAATATTTACACAACCTTTGTCCACTAAATCAAAGTTGTTTTTTGTGTGGAAAAAAACTAAAACAAAAAATATATTTATTTATTTATATTTTAAATTATGAAGATGTGTAAATTCACATTCAGGGTAAAAA